TTTTTTTTGAGGAGGGGGGGAGTGTTTTCCCCCCCCCCCCCCCCTTCCATCGAGGGTGGGGAAAAAAATATTTCCTTCTCCTCGACAAGCGGGATTTTTTGCCCCCACCCCTTCCTTTTAAAAGCAGACATTTTTTTTTTTTTTTTTTCCCCCCCCCCAAAGCGGGGGGGGGGTTTATTTCTTAATTGGGTTTTTATTAAATAATTATACATGTTTTGCATATATGAGATGTTTACCATTGTGGCAGGTTGAGCGCGGGGGGAAGCATTATCGCTTGAAATTGTTGCTGCTTGTTGCTACTGCTGCTTGGGGGGCCCTTGGTTGATGCGGTGCTTAATGTGTATACAGAAAAAATGATTGAAGGAGTGGATCCGAGATTGGATTTGATATGCAGAGGGAATCCGCATCATCAGGAATATAGATGCATTGTTTTACCCGCCCCGGTTGAATAATCCTTGTTGATGCCGGTCTATGGATAAAAACATGTTAAAGAGATATTCCTCGTATGTTATGGAAATACGAAGATTACGTCTGGGAGTGGCTGATTTTATATGTGATAAGCTGATAACAGCGGTACGTTAATTACGATAAATACGAGTGATTTTCTGGGCCGGAACAACATTAACCCGTTACTTTTTCCAAAGCTTTAAGAAAGTTAAAACTTCGAAATTGAACATGTTGAGATACAACATAACAACAGATTGAAAGTGGATTGTACTTTTGAGCTGAAATAATATCCTCTCAATGCATTTTCTCATGCATAGATAGTAGTCTTCCAATTTGATATACCCCGATTTTTCTCAAATGGCCACTCCGCAACCTCCACTCCGCTTCACCTCCCACAAACATTTCACTCTCCGCCTCGTACTCTCAACCCTAACAGGACGCTCCGTGCATATCTCTAAAATACGACCTTCGGACCCCATCCACACTGGTCTAGCTCCCCATGAAATCTCATTTCTACGCCTCCTCGAAGCTGTCACCAATGGCTCGCATATGGAGATTTCGTACACTGGTACAATTGTCCTCTATAAACCGGGGCTCATTACAGGAAGTGCCCCCGGATCCGGCGCAAGTGGAGGCGTCATAAAACATGAGATTCCGTCGAATTGTGCCCGTGGCATCAGTTACTTCCTGCTGCCAATGTGCCTTCTCGCTCCCTTCTCCAAAGCCCAGTTCAATATCCTCTTCACGGGCCCCGGTGTCATCACCTCCGCAACCCCAACCGGTGACATGTCCATCGATAGTGTAAGAACCGCTATACTCCCGCTATTTTCTCAATTTGGTATTTTCAACAATATTGAACTGCGCGTCCTGCGACGGTCAAACCCTGGACCTAATGGGAGAGGTGGAGGAGGAGAGATTCAGCTGGTCTTCGGTCACCAGGTTCGACTCCCGAAGACGATACATCTCTTAAACCCTGGTAGAATAAAGAAAATACGAGGTGTAGCATATGCCATAGGTGTATCTGGTTCTCATAACGCAAGAATGATCGAAGCCGCCCGAGGAATCCTGAATCCCCTTTGTCCGGACACCTATGTGTTTTCAGATGTCTCGTCAGCTCCATTGGTACCTGCCCCAAGCAGAGATAACACATCGAACAAAAAGAAGATCGGAATTGGTTTTGGGCTGTCTTTGGTCGCCGAATCATCCACAGGTTGTCTGTTCTCCGCTGACGTAGCGTCCTTACCCACCGGGGGAGAACCTCCTGAGGATATCGGGAAACGGTGTGCTTACCAACTCCTGGAGGCCATCTCAGTGGGTGGATGTGTCTCTCGAGCCGCGGCTCCAACGATGATAACACTCATGGCGATGGGCTCTGAGGATGTGGGACGACTGCAGGTTGGAAGGCATGTCATTGCTGATGAATCCATGATCCAGTTCGTGAGGGACCTGAATAAATTCGGTTCTCCTGGATTGGGAATCAGGGACGCACCCGGAGAAAAGGAAACGGGAGATGTTGTGATCAGCGTTGTCGGCAGAGGGATAGGCAATGTCGGCAGGAAGATCGCTTGATCGACTATTGTATCGTGCAGCTTTTCGTCTACATCCTATTACGAAACGGACTCTCAGAACTTCAATGGTATCTGCATAACATGCATTTCACCATCCCTGCAATCATACCGCTCATATTCTGGGACATTACACAAAGGATCGCAGAAGCAACGGACTTAAATTTGAGCGTATAGAACCTCCCATCCGCCGCGGTCGACGTATTTGAGGAGTAAGCTTCCGGTGTGACCTCGAGAGGCAAATGAAACTCGAATGTGCCATTCTCTCTAGTTGCCATCATTCGCCATTGCTGCCCATCCAGTCGCTCGACAGCAGAAGGTGGTCTTCGAGCCTTGAGTTTTGGGATTCTGGACCTCTCGTTTCGTGCAGCGAGAACTTGAGGGTCACCAGGATTTTGCAGCAGATAACAAGCGGATGTGCCCACTGTGACCATTAAGCTTTCCTTTTAGAAATACCTGCTACACTCGACAAGGACGGAATAGTTGAGAGTCAAGACGTTTCGGATACCCTCCAGACATTCTCTGAGCTAGGACATCGTAGCAGTCAAGTTCTTTTTGTTCCACGGCTCTCATGATGATCGTCCACACTTCCCTTTGTATATATTTTCTATTCTAATATTATCATCCACCTGGAATATGAATGCCATACCTCCTATGAAATAAATTCAGAGAGGAAAGACCAAATCATTCATGAATCACAGATTGAATTTTAATATTTCGCTTTTCTTGAGCTATATGAACAGGGAGAGTAAAAACGCAAAGAGGTTTTAAAGGAGACCAGCGGAGAAGGCAAGGTGGAGAGGCATTGGAAGAGTTAAGAGAAAGAAGAACAAATTTACTAAGGTAACTAATAGCTTACACAGAGCGAGAGATCAACAGTTGCTAATAGGTAATAGCAGAATTGGGAAAAGCGAAAGGTCAACAGTAACAAGGGAAGAAACAAAACAGAAAGAGGCAAGGAACATGTGAAATCCACCCCAAATTACATCCCATCCGTCTTCCGCAGAGCATACGTTTTTAAGGAAAAGGGAAATCAGGAAGAAATGAACAGGGAAAAGACAAATAAATGAAATGCTAACTATGTAAAAGGAAAAGAAAAGTGTTAAAAATAAAGATTGTTGTGAATCTGTCCTCTCTATCCCATTTTCTCCCTTGTAAACCCACCTTCATTGCTTTCCCACTTTCATTTCTCTGCGTCATTCATTGGTTGGTTAGGGATATAATCATATCTTTTGAGATATTTTTGCAACCTCTTTTCATTCTGCTTCTCTCAACCAAGCCAACAAACGAACAACTCAACCAGTCAATCCCCGTCGCTCTCTGAATGACCCTTGTTTGCATTCCTTCAACTTTCCTGTCCAATGTCTCTTGCACAATCATTACCGTACATGAGAAATGACATTCATGAAGAGTGCAGCCCCCGAAACCCGCAGTCCTCCACCCTGGCAGATGGGTGTCCCCTATCCCTCGTATCCCCTTAAACCCCTTTCATTTCAAACGGGTCCGACAAACCGGGGTCTTCCAACATGCCCAGAACACACCCATGGTTCCTCCAGCATGCAACATGCAACCCATGCTCTGCCCTCGGGTGGCAGGACGCTTTTAAATAAGTAAAAATCGAAAAAGATTTGGACCACAAATGGGATAAGAGAATCAATCAAGATTAAAAGCAACCTCGAAAAAGGAAGGGGATTTTCAAACTTCAAATCAACCCACACATACGCACATAGAACACAAAGAACACAAGGCAAGAAACAAATTGACAAATTTAGAGACATGGAAACGTAATAAAATAGGATCAAACAGAACAGATACAGCAATGGAAAAAAAAAAAAAAAAAAAAAAAACCCACACACAAAAGACTAGGCGTCAACTTCTACAGCCTCCCCTCCTCCCTTAGCAGGAGAAATCCCTGACATCTCATCATTCGCTGTTGCTGGCTCCGGGGCATCCGGCATGACCTCATCTTCATCTACACGGGTAACACCACCAGTCTCATCATCCGCCTCAGTCGCCTCCTCCGCTTTCCCACCGTTAACCTGCTTGTGGCCATTTGCCTTTGTATCAAATTCAGCTTCTTCTTTTTCCTTCTCCCTCGTGGAAGGGGGTATATCAGAATCCAGCAGCGTCTTCCATTTGTTCAAGATGTTGATGGAGCGGCCGCGGAAGTTGAATTCCTCATCTTTGGGGATGGAGTTAAGCTTGATGATGGCCTTAAGCACTTTGTTGATTTTGGTGGTGCGGATGATGCTGACTTCCAGGTCCGCATAGGATTCCAGCTTCTGGATGTAATTGGACATGTTTTCCATTTCATCTTCCTTGGGTGTCTGGTCACGTGTAAGAAATCCTTTCTGGAGTTTATGACGAAGATACAGAACTGAGTGTAAAGTTAAATCAGCACAAAACGTCGCTCTCTCCATTATAATAATAACTCTGGAAGAATTGAGATAATGAGGAAAGGTAAAGCAGTGAAAATTTAACTGGAACAATGGATAGTTGTAGATGGTTTACCTTCTTTCTCCTTCTTCAGTTTGGCTGCCTGCGAGTCGAGAGGCTTTTCAGGCTCCTTTAGAGTTTTGACAGCACCTTCGTCACTCGGTGTCTTCGTTGCCTTTTTGTCCTTTTTCGCAGTGGCAGCCTTCGCCTTGGATGGTCTGGTTGCAGCTTTCTTGTCGGGCTCGCCGGTCGCAGGGGTCTTGGGGGTTGTCAACTTGAGTTTAGTGGCAGTCTTGGGGGTCTTTGCAGGCTGTAGTATTGTGTGCGACCAAAAATGACACGAATCCCCATTAGCCAACTGTCTTTTCTCTCGCCAAAGCACCACCCACAAGTGGCGCCCGAAGGTGATCGGGCTATGCTCGCGACTAAACAAAACATCCTGGGGCTCTGCTTACCTTGTCGCTTTCAGCTTCACTATCGATATCCTTTTTCCGTTTCTTGACACTCTTTCGTTTCTCAGCTCCTGCATCTGCTGCCTCCTCGTTATCTTGCTCATCAGCTACTTCAGTGCTCTTCCGTTTTTTCTTCTCCTGCTTCGCTGCTTTAGCAGCTTCTCGAGCCTCTCGCGCTTCCTGGTCTTGCTCTAATGCCCGTTGGTGGTCAGCAAGCATATCCTTAAAGTATTGAAGATCGTGGTTCTCTGCGGCAACATGGTAAGCTTCGACAAGGGCCTTCGTCTTTCCTTTCTCGCTCACGTCTTTGCACGACTCGGGGTCAAGAGGTGTGAGTTCTGTGTTTGGAATCCATGCACTGTAAAGAAATCAGTCACCTTCGTCAGCCTGTATCCTGCAAATTTTCAATCCAGTCACCACCACACATATAAAGAGAACACACTCCAACACATTGATCTCAGAGAAAATGTAGAGAGAAAGGTGTAAAGGGAAAGGGAAACCAAACCCAACTCACAATTCATTAGTGTACAAGAACATAATTGGAAACGTGCGCTCATGAACTCGTTTGCCGCCATTGTCGTAGGCTTCTTTGTATGTGCCATCCTTCTGTTTCGTAGTCACCGGACGCGTTGACAGGAGGCTAGGTGGAAGCATCTCCTCATCACAAATTATCGAGGGCCAGGGGGGATAGCTCTTCAGACGAGCAGTGTAGTATTCTCCTGGCTTCGCATCCAGGTGTGTGATACGGTTCATGGACTTCTTCTTATTCAGTTTTTTCCCCTTACTATCGGCGGCAGCAGTCGACTTGCGTCTTCCGTTGCTCGATTTCCTAGACACGGAGGGTGTACCGTTGGCACCACCTTCCGCCGCATCAGCAGTAGCAGCAGCTGCTGTAGCAGTCTCTTCATCCGAAACATGACCCTCTCCCTTCTCTTGTTTTGGCGTTTCAGAGGGCGAGCTTGGTTTGGCAGTCTCTTCAGCGGCGCCGGCGGCGGTGGGGGTTTCAGGGTTTTCAGCAGGAGGTGCATCTGTTTCTAGTACAGCGACAATGAGAGGTTAGTAAAATGAGAAAAAATAATATCCCACCCCAAAAGGGAGATGATCAAAAAAATCGACTGCGCCGAGACGAAGGGCGAGACGAAGGGCAAGACGAAAGGGGATAGCAGGGTTGACCAACCGGCCGACGCGTCCTCAAGCTTCACATCACCCTGTTCATCTTTCTCTGGACGAAGAGACTCTGGAGCCTTTGCGGGAGCTTCTGCAGATGGTGTGAGTTCGTGGGCCACGTCGCTTCGGGATGCAGCGGGGTTCGCATCCTCAGCCATGGTGATGGATGGTGATGGTAATCGCTCAGGTCGAAATGAAAACAGGAGATGCAAAGGATTCGGGGGACGATGAGGCAAAGTAGCCTGTCAAGTCAAGAGTGATGGGCAGGCGATGGGTGTTGGCAACGGGGTTGTATTGGGGAGGATGGATGTCGTGGTGGGTGGGAGTGGAAAAGAGTTGGGGGTTCGAGGTTTTGAAAGTTGAGAGTTGGCGGTAGATAATATTATTTTTCCTGGGTGCGCGAAGATCGTGGCATGAGACAGGAAACGCGTGTGTGGAAAGAAGACGGCAGCGGAAAAGTGAAAAAAAAAAAACGGCCATCCACAACCGAGGGACTTGATGTGCAAAGGGAACACTCGGGTTGTGTTTATTTCCTCTTGTCGATCAATCAATTAGATTTATTTAATTGATGATTATTTGGGTGGCCTCCTCTTCGATGTTGTAATCAGAGAGGTTCTTCGCCTGGTGGGCCTTGATTCCTCCACAGCTGTGGATAGGGACGACGACGATCACTCCACACTCTCTCCTCAGCACTCGCTGCCAGTACAATCCCAAGCTCTTTTCAAACAGTAAAAACAAAAAGAGGAAGATTCAGCACACAAACTTGAACAGAGAAGTAAACACTAAAGGGAAAATAGCAATGAAAATGGCATGAAACCCGATAGGAAAGTCTGGAGATATCGCTATCTCTTCATCAACCCCAGCAGTAGATTTTCAATACAGAGCCACCGCAGCAGACACGGTTGCGGTTTGAATAAACGTGAAAATAAATGCGGGTATCCCTTTACCACAATTACGTCTTTAGCAGGATGCCAGACAGAGCAGAAGAGGAAATGCAGTTATCTCTTGCGAGCGAGCGAACAGGAGGGAGTAAATGCAGAGGGAAAAGTTGAGGTTGAAAAAGAGATGATGCGTTTGGTAACTAAGCAAGGAGAGAAGAAGCATAAACAATCGCTTAGCATTCAATCAGGAAACTCATACGGAATACATCAATCCAGTCTCCATCTACCGATCTATCTATATATGTGAGTGAGTGAGTGAGTGAGTGAGTGAGTGAGTGAGTGTGTATGTGTGTCTTTCCCTCGTTATATATTTGTTTATTTTCCCGGCGCTGCATTTGGTTTTTCTAGATTCAAATGGATAAATTATACCCCCCTCCAGCTCGAAGGTAGTTACCATATATAAATACTAGCATAGACATTCAATCGCGATATACCAGAAGAGCAGAACAAAAGGAAACCATTCACAAATGTGGTGGATGGGGAATTATTCACCTAGAATAAAATCAGTGATCTACTTGAGACGGCCGTGGCATTTCCGGTTCCGTACGTGCGAATATGCCCAAAGAATTATCCATGGATGGGGGGGATATGGAGCCAAGGGCTAGGAAGGCTCCCGGTACTGACACATGCACCAAGGAAAAATCAACACGGCGCCAGTCCAATCACCTCATCATGTCCGTGTCTGTATCTCCCACTTCTACCCCTCTTAGCTCTCTAATCGCGATTAACAAATTAACCGGTGGTCCCTCATCGGATCTGTATGTGTAAGTGTCAGTCTACCTACTTCCTCCTATGTACCCATCCCATTAAAACGGTTGAAGCCAAACCGGAGCTCACAACAGCTTTTGGTAAAATCCACGGAATGTTGTACATTGCCAGCCATCCAGAACTGTTCCCTCAGCCCCTGTCGATTTCATCCGGGTTGTTCTGTTCACTATTTTGAATCCAGAAGAGAGTGAGTGGTATTCCTCACCTAAAACCCCTGCCTGTCATGTGGGGTACTTCCATCTGAGAACGGATTGTGGTGCTGGCCATACCGTCTGGTATATCTATACCTTTTAGCACTAGGCAGCAGCCGAAAGATCTCCCATGCCATCAGTGGAAAATTACCATATGATGGTCAAAACGTGAATATTCAAGCTCACGTTCGTGTATATTCCAAGCCGGAGAGCTCTGTCCATTTCATGGATTGGAATATGCAGCGTAGGGAACCAAGGCACAAAGCCGCGTTGGTCTGCGCTATGGGAAGAGAAATATGACCTTGAAAAAGAAGGGAGAGTGAGGGAAATGATAATCATAGAATCTGAGTAAGGTCCTCCTGAAAACGAATACATTTTCAGTTATAGGAACCAATGCTAACAGAAATGGCATGGCGTTCTGTAAAATATCTATTAGGGCTAAGGAGCACCTTCTAGACAACCTATAGGACTGGCTGAACAGACAAAGAATAAACAAACACCAGTGACCATAATCCGGGAGAGTCACCGTAAACCAAGTCGAGGAAAATGAAGCCAATCGGAAACCCAAAGAAAGCATTAATCACCGAGAATACATCAACGCATGGCATCCCGGCATAATTTTCATCTGCATCCTCACAGACAAGCGGGGAGTGGACATATGGATATAGCGGTCCTTGTTCCGGCTTATGGGTCTTCAACAGGTAGAAAAGGTAATCTTCCAGAGGAAAGAGGTTTACAGGAATGGGATTCCCCCGCCATCCTAATCCGCAAACAACGGCTTCTGCAAAAGCATCAAGAACGAAATGATTAGCAATAGCGATAACGGCAACGAGGATGGTGAAGGAGTAAATTGCCCCAAGAATAGGACATCCAATCCGGGGCCATGATGGGTAATAAACTCTAAATAAAGAAACGGAGAGTAAAAGGTTGGGAGGCATGGGAGTAAGTAGATAGATGTTGATTGGGGAGAAGCGGGATGGCCAATATGGAAATACGATCATGAGCGAGTATCCAAGATGCAGAGAGGTCAATATGGAAATGCGATCATGAACGAGCATCCAAGATGCAGAGACGGCATGTGGCTGAAAGATAAGTAAAATGAGGGTTCTAAATAAAGTACACATCACATCAGCGATAGATATTTGAAAACACTGACCATAGTGATTGCAAAATCTGTGTCTAGACACTGCTTGCGCCAAAAGCCCCATAAATAATGTCAACAATCCACGGGCTCCTTGAAAGTTCCATCAACTGGCCCCTTAGGTCACTCAGCAGGCGAGGAGGCATACACGGCCACACAGTGAATACCAAAAATACAAGCAAGTTGTACTGCTAGGGTCCGCCTGCGAGCTTGATACATAGCAGCACCGCAACTGAACCGCTCCGATGATGGCCTTGAGCTGATATCTTGTAGTAGCAGCGCAGCAGTAGTAAAGCCAAATGAGAAAGGAGATCGTCTCTAAGCATATGGATAAAAGAATAGAGCCTGTTAGTCCAAGCATGAAGATTGACTATCAGAGGAAGCATCTCTGCCTCCCGGAAGATATGGAGATTCTCCTCTAATTGTAATATCTGTAAAGCATGTTCCCGGGCAACATTCGCTGCTCCAGCTTTAAGGGTGACTGCAGTGAAAGATCGCCCAAGCTGATACATCTAGAAACGGTCAGTCCGAAAAGCTTCTAGCCGGTTTCACCTAGAGTTGACTGTGAGGAAAATACAAACGGGATCCTAATCCAATAAACCTGTATCCAATATCCAATATCCAATATTCTAACAAAAAGGGAAATCTCCAAAGTAGCCGACTAAACCATCGATTCCGAGACCTGGTTATATGCAGTATTCTAACTTCTCTGTTCCACGACCACCACCCAATCTATCTAGTTCTGCAAGGAGGCTCTTGATCCAACGAGCAAGGATGGCGACGGGGAAACAGAGGGTGGACCGGGCAATAATCTGTTTCTTGTAAAGAGACGGGCAGATAGTCCGTCCTCAACGCTGTCTAGTTTTTTGGCCAGAGAAATTGGAATCCAATTCTGGGCAGTAGCGTGCAACATTTTGAGTGTATGGACAGTATATCCGATTATCGGTTGATTCGGGTTCCCTCAATATGAATAATCGCAACGACGAGGGGTTCTAAAAACGTCCCGACTCACATGTCCTGAAATGTAGGGAAGATAAAGCAACAGACATCAGGAGAAGAAAAGAAAAAGAGAACCTTCACACAGTTGTTAGCGAAAATATTAACAAAATTATATTATCTCGCGAGATCTTTGAAAGTCGAACACAAGTCATCGGGGTGTATTTTCGCGGAAGCGCATCCAAGGGGAGGGACCCGAACGCGCATGATGAGATAATATGAACCGCGGTAAGGTAGTTACACCAAACTCCAATCCATAGTAGTCCAATTATAGTACAGAACGAATGTCCTATGATAGACCATACTAAGTGTGAGGAGGAGCTGGGATCTTTCATATCGATGAGAGGGATGGATCCGGAGATGTTGTAACTAGTCGGACCAGATATGGTTAGTTAATTAACTAACTGCTCAGCATCGTTCGTCTTGGCAATCACATCACTAACGTAGATTTGACTCTGCCGACATACAGGAACAACAAACTAAACGCCTTCGATGATCCTCGAACAAGCCATACAAAACACTCATTGTCCAGTGCTTCAATGACTGCTATTAAATTATATCATTTGAATGAATACTGGTTTTTGGCTTGATGCATTGGTCTATCTATAGATTACCTACTACTTGCATTGTAGCGGCACAACTAGTAAATCAGTTGACAGCTGGCTGCAACGACCCTTTGCGTTAACATCAGCGTTTATATTCATATTTCTATTCTTTGATGGGAAAGAAAGATTGCCATTCGGCGTACATGAAAGAAGAGTAAAGCTGTGGCTAAATTAGTAATGAATTAATATACACTTCAAAATACAGTCCAGGTATACGCTCATTGCTAAGTGAGACAGGTATCTCAAATAAAACAGAGAGAGTCGATCTCGATATCTTTCACAGGAAAGGAAGTATACAAACTATAATTCGAAGGAAATGAATTGTCCCTCAACATGACTCGAATTGCGCCCTCGTTGTCGTCTAAGATCCACTTTTTGCCTCTAGAATAACCTCCGCAGCCTTCTCGCTGATCATATAGATGGGTAATGAAATATAGAAGCCAGGTATCTTAGGGAAAGAAGAAGCATCGACGACACGGAGGCCGTTTACGCCACGGACGCGGAAATTGGAATCCAATACTGCCATGGGGTCACCATCGGCACCAATGGGACAGGTGCAGGACGCATGGTGGCCCCAAACCTCGTTCTTGATAAATTCCTTGAGGCTCTCAGTGTTGTTAGCTCTCTCTGGGCCCGGCCAGACCTCCTTAAAAGTCCCATCGAGAGGGATGACGTTCTCAAAGATCTTGCGCGAGAATTCGATCGACTCAACCATGGCCTGCAGGTCCTTCTCGTCTGCACCGTCAGCCGTGACGCCAGAGTCGAAGGAGTTGAAGTTAATCACGGGCGTGTCCCGGGGGTTTCTGGAGCGTAGCTTGACTGTTCCAGCGTTGTTGCGCGTGTGTGCTTTGAGGGTGATCCACGTCCAGTGACGAGCATCAGTTATAGCCTTAACGGAGCAACCGGGGTAAAAACCGGGGAACCAGACCGGAGCACCGGATATGAGGACATCCGGGTCACCAGCGGATGCGGAAGTTCGTTTGACGATACCGACCGCAAGGCCACTGGATGTGTATATTCCCTTTTCGAGAGACCCAACGCCCTTTTGGTACTGCTCGAGGCATGGATCTGGGTCTGTGGCTAGGAAAGTGCATTTGGAAATGATGGAGAAGTCGCTTTGGGTCTCTGCAATAAGACCAGTCTCATAGCGGTCCTGGAGGTTTTGGCCAACTCCGGGGAGGTCCACGAGGACTGGAATATTGAATTTCTTAAGCTCTTCTTTGGGTCCAATACCGCTGAGTTTGAGGAGTTGAGGGGTGTTGAAAGCCCCGGCAGAGAGAATCACTTCCTTGGTTGCAGTGACTCTACCTGGGATTCCCTCCTCCGCACCAGTTGCGCGGGGATCCGCTGCGTAGAGGCTTTTGCCTTTGAGGAAATCAACACCAACAGCCCTTGGCTTATTACCAGAGGTATCAAACCGAACATTGGTCACCAAGGTATTGAGTGCAAGGTCCAGGTGGTATTTTCGAGAACCATCTTCATTAACTGCGTTGGCCGTATCGAGGATAAATTCACGGGGCCCATTTCGTTTATAGTCAGGAGCATTGATTGCAAGGGGAACCTGATACGCGGCCTCAGTGGAGTCACGGAGCGGAGTGTCCGCGTTGATATCACCAAGCAGAACCCCAGCCAGCCCAGTCACCGTGGTGATCAGGCTTCCGACACTATTTCCCATTGCAGTGCCAAGTGCAATAACCAGCGAGAGGAGTTTGAGATCTTGGGCTGCTAGAGACAAGTCCGTCACGGTAGTTTCGAGCCAACCTTCGAAGCCGTGGCCGACAAAGCCATTGGGAACGTATCGTGACCGCTCAAGACGTTGAAAGTACTTCCGCATGTTATCAGGAGACCAAGATGCATCACCAGTGATGGTCTCAATGTTAAGCCAGTCGCTTTTATGAGGGTAGATGGTGACCATTGCATTGTGGGAGGCACAGCCTCCTAGCGTGCCTGCACGGGGATATAGAATCCCCAAAGGTTTAGCATCAGAAGGCGCATTCTGCCCGACGTGAACTTGACCATTTTCCTTTCTATAGGTAAACTTGGAATTCTTTTTTTGGCGTTCGAAGTCAGGGTAATAATTAACCCAGTAATCCCAGCGCATTGGGGCATATTCAGTCGAATGTAAATGCAGAGCTGGCGTCTGATACAGAATGGAGTCGCCCTGATCATCGCCCGCATCAATCAGCAGCACTCTGTGCCCTGCACGGGCAAGTCGAGATGCCACTGGGCCACCTCCCGGGCCAGATCCCACGACCACATAGTCGTATATCTCTGTGGTGTTTGACGACTCACGTTTTCCAAATGCACCTTTGATGGGGTTGTGGTGCTTTCCATGAGGAACTCTGTCCAAGTCGTCAGTACAACGTATTTATTGATATCTAATTGAATTTTGGAATCCTCCACTCACGTTGCAGCTAGGACATCGGAGGCAATGAGGGCCAGCAAGCCCAAACCTTGTTGAAGAAACATATTACCGGACACCATAAGCTTAACGAGGGGACATATATTCAAAGTTGCATGCAGCTTCAGCTCCACGAATTCCAAACTCGCAACCGGCGAAATATGCGAAAGAATGTGCCCGAGAATGAGTGATCGAACACATAAAGGAATGGAAAGAATAAACGGCAGACGGCAGACGGCAGACGGCAGGTGAGGAAAGAGAGACTGATGAAGCAATCCAACCTCCAAGGTTTTGCCTCCAGATTGACTGAGGGGAGCTTTAAACCTGGTGCAGGTCGGTTTATCCTTTCGAACCCACCCCCCGAAAATTCCGCGACTCCATACCCCTGAGGAAACGCGGGCGTGTTAGTGCCAAGCTACAAGCATAACTTGGAAATTGGAATATCAGGATGAAGGAAGATCCCGAGGAGCCTTATTATGTTATTCTGCTTCAACAGTCGTGCATGTGCGCGGGACGCCTGTCATATGGGGCAGCAGATGCTTGTCCAGCGTTTTCTGGAATGGCGATTGGTTCTTCCCCATTATGACTTGCAGGCTGGAGTCGCTCTGCAAATCCAGCTGGTCCACGAGTCCAACGACTCAGTCAATCAGTCAACATCGTTACTTGGGGCCTGAGGGGGGTTCAACAGGAGTTCATGGTTCCTTGGTCGGAAGTGGGCTCGCTTAAACCCCCTGGGAAAATGTTCCTGAGCCCTGGCCGCCTGCCAAACTTTCTTTTTCTTTTCTTTTTTTTTTTTTTTTTTTAAAAAAAAAGGGCCTGATGCTGAATTATTTTCTGTGCAAGGATGAATCGTTTCATGGATTATTATCGTTCAGTTCAATACTCCGGAGAAACTGAATAGTCACAGATAGATCCCGGTGCATGTTTCTACGCTGATTGCTGGGGTGCAGGGGGTTGTGGAATAACAGGAACCATGATCACGATGTGGCTGCTTACTGCTCAATGCTCAGTTAAACCCAGTGCAGCGGGGACAGCTTGGTAGTAGTTAGCAGAAAGAAATCGTGTGAAATATTCCATGTTTTTCATACAATTCTTCATCATTGTGGACTTCCAATTTTTGAAGGTCACAGCCACGCAACTATCCCGAGCTTGAATAACGAGTTGGAGAAGTTTGTATGACCGGAAACATACCGGTTCGGTTCGACCCGTATAATCCTTGCCGCCGAGAAGCTAACGCTTGGGGAACTGAATCCGCCTCTGGAGAACTGTCGATCATAGTGATCGTAGCCTGGTCTATTATTGGTGGTGTCCCCTCCCATGCTCCCGGGTTTAGCCCAAGTGCCAACTTCGTCATCGAGCAGGAAATATGGAGCCAGCAAAGAAAGGGGATGGTCCTGTGTCCATCAGGTTCTTGGGGCAAGAATATTTATAGAATATATATTGATTTCTGATCCGAGTTAATCACGAAAATCTCTTTCAATTCTGCCCAATGAAAATGTCGCAAATCTTAATAAGAAAATGAAAAAGAAGAAGACATTATTGCGATTAAATGATATCCGCAGTTTAGCACATGTGTACGTAGCGTAGCGCTCCGAACTCCGGTCTTGATAGTACGATGCAAACATTACTAGCTACAGAACTGGAAAGCAATGATGGAAATAATTTGGCTCTTCTCGCGTGCCTAGAGTTTTCGAACCCTGGCCCACACTTGAGAAACAGGCCTTCGGGCCGCATTGCTTTGTTCTGCAGCTTCTCAAAGAGTGAGCATCTTAATATAAGTTGGGATATGAATTCGAGGACTCAAGAATGGAAATACATTCTCACATCTCAACCACCTGCCTCTCTGCCACTACTCTCTGGCTCCACGTTTGCCTGCGGTATAAAGGAGGCCTTTCAATGCAAATTTCAACATTCTTTCCTGTTTCTAGCGCGAATTCAATGGCAATCTAAGAGTAAAATTCCGCAGATAGCCCTAAAAGATCTATCAAGAGTGAGTATCCTTTCTAAATATGGCAAAATAGAAGAAAATCAGCATCCCTCGCAACTAATTGCCAGGTCCCAAATCAACGGCTCAAAATTTCGAAGCAGGTTTTGTCGAGGTTGCGGAACCACAGTTGATTCAAGCAGGGATTTCGGCAAAGGAGTAATCGGGGAACCATCAACAAAAAGGGGGCTGAACCTTTGCATATCATGCACGTTTCAGCAAAGACCTTCTTTAGCCCCCGGATTCTCGAACCGATAATAAGTATCCGAATTTCCAAAAACCATCCAGTGGTAAACTCAGCATCCTCAGAAATTCCTAGGATGTCTCTTCAATAGCTTCATCCGATGCTCCTCTGTTCTCTCCCGTGTCTCTGTCCTTTGGGACAACCGGGTTTTGGCGGAGCACAGCACTAAGAATTCGCTTCTCTACTGATTGGCGTAAGCCCTAAGCTCCAGGAGGGACGGTGCGTAAAGCCAGAGGCGGCGGCTCAAGGTATCCTCCTGACATCCTTGTCGAATGTGATGATGCACTGTGGGTTTTCTTCGAGCCTCCGCTGCAGAAGACATGAAGCTCCAACAGGTTACTTTTTGTCCCCGCCCATTTTCGGTCTCACCTAGTTCCTTATTATGAAATGTGATAAGACGTACGCTGTGTAGTAGTTTGTTTGTATTGAAACACTAGATTATTCGTAGTAGTCAAAAAAAGAAAAAACCCGTTTTCTAGGCGGCCAAGTATCCCACTACCCAAGTCCAAGAAATAAAACATGGAGGCCAAAGAAGGAGAATTAAGGAGATTTGTCAAGCTGACAAAATGTTATCGGGGGTGGTTTAAAAAGCGAAAATTTTGTATCAAAGACCCTCCATAATGTAAAAAAAAAAAAAAAAAAAAAAAAAAAAAACAGGGAAAATGAAACGATAATTAAAGTCTAAAACGCTAACAAGGGAATAAGTTGGTTGAAAGAATGACTGGGGTACACAGCAGAATCATTTTCGATTAGGATTATCAATGTAAAAGAGGCTAGACAGCGTGGAAGTAGTTGCGCTGGTGCTGTTGGAAATTAACAACATCAACCAGAGGCATCGCATCCGATTCGTGGCATTTTGGTTTTTGGGACAATCTTTCTGAGTTGCGCATCATGACCTCATCGTGGGATGTGCTAAAAGTACCAAATGTTCCTGATTTCTGATGTTCGGTGTAGGAGAACAGAGTGGGAAAAACTCTGCGGAAGAATGATCGCATGGCTGGCATGCACGCACAAATGATACCAACGTGGATCTCAATTGTGCTCCAGTATCCCATTTCAACATAATCCCCTGAGAGCGCACGTTAGTTTCACCTCTTTGGCAAATAACGTAATGGGTACACTCACAGGTAAAATTGTGTGATTTGGCAAATTTGAGAAGCGTCTGTAGGCGGAGGATGCTGACGATTGTGACACTATCAAGTTCGCTGTCAGCTCCATCTACAATATTATAGCTATTCAGAGACAAATCCGAACTTACAATGATCCGACACTGAACATGAGACAAATATGGATTTTCTTCTTCCGCCACAGCTCCAATTGGGACAACTCTCGTAAAGGCAGAGCCAAAGTGACAAAGTCAAGGACAATGTTAAACCCGGCACTCGTCCAGCCCTGCATGTTGATATCATTGCAGTGACCAGGCGCAGTCTCATCCCACCGCAGCCATGCTAATTCAATTGGCCTGCACTGAAAGACGGATACAAGGATAAAGACGAGACCGTATGCCAATGTGACGGCCATTACGATGTATATCGCTATCCTGAAACTCTTTTTGGAAAAAATTCTTAAATAGAAAAAGTGAAGAGATACTTTTGTGAAAATGAGGGCTAGAAAATAAAGCCATTCGTCGAAGTAGTATATCTAAGCTCTTGTCAGCCATAAAGAGGCACGGTGATAGGAAGCGTAGAAACATACGTAAAGAATGTTTGTAATGTCGTCGAAGGCAACGTGCCAGATGTCTTTGCCCAGCCCCGCATTTGCGACTGTTTGACAGTGGCTATTAGTTTATTTTATTCGTTTTATGCGGACCTATGGGAAAATGGAGTGATACTCACTTAGAACGGAAAATGCAGAGAAAGGTATCGTGAACACCTAGCCTACCTTCAGTAATCACACGCACACCATAGGTCATAGGAGCCTTAGGGAACCCACCATTGCCAAAACTATCATCACATCGTCCATTCCGAATTGGCCACCATTGAAAAATGGTAATCTAGCCATCATCCGCAAAGCAAACGCTAGAAGCGCAAGGCCACCTCCTGTAACGCCAGTAATGGAAATCAACTTAGTTCGATCGCGAATCGGCCGCCCACACTTTAAGTCAGAGAGTCTCTTGGTTGCTTCATTAAGTCAGCAGTTATCATTATATTCACGAAGCAGATACCACCTACTCAACGATTCTCTGATACTACATGTCGTTTCCACGCATGGTCCGATTTTTGCTTGGAGCGCAGCATTTTTGCAGGTATCCATACACTTTATGTCAGTGAGCGCGCACAATTCAGCAATTGCTAGTTTCGTACAATTGATCTGGTTTCAATTAGCTATGTGCTCTGCTATGATGCATCCTCTGGTTCCCATCCTACCGCGCATGCTGGGACTTGAGAGCGCTGTGCTTGGGAGGCTGAGATAAGGACGGTATATGCCGTGAGAGCGGTGTTGAAAGCCTTCATATCCGCGATCGGAGTACCGCAACGGTGCCGGGCTGCCTAATTGCCAAACATGAGGAAGAGGCCGAGAGAACGACAGGATGAAGTCAAACTGCGGGCCTAATATACATGATGAGGTGAGGGAGTCTTCACCAAGACAGTATTGAACATTAAATGAAAGAAATGCGAGACCCTGTTCTAGATAATGATAATGAATGTCTGTGATCCCAAAATCATCTTCCATGCAACGCAAGGATCAGGGAGAGAGGGATATGACAGTTCGGGAAATATTGATTGACGTCCTTCAGGCGTCTAATCCTCGAAATAGCAATACTTTTTGAAGACAAGGGATCGTGGAAACCAAGGGGACAATTCTAGGCGTCTTAATATCTATCATATGGTATTGATTTA